CGGGTCAAATCATTCCACTGAGGGAAGTGATGGAATGGCAGCTAAGGGCACAACGAACACTTCCCCGCCCTACGTACAACCATTACCCGTTTAGGACGAAGCCCTAGAAATGTCTGTGTGGGAAGCTACAACGATGTGAGGTCATCCCAGGGTCACTTCATTCGTCTTGGCTCAATTAATAAAGATAAAACTGGCGTCCATTTTGGTCGAAGTTCAATAGTAAAATGGATAAGTCAATGAGTTATGGTACAATCACCCTTAGGTTGTCGTTCCATACTGCAAAACGCTCCTCTTCTTCAGTTTCTGATCCGTATGTTTTGCCGTAAAATGACTTCCATGTCTGCCAATGCTGCTGATAGTACTCTTGGTAGGTCACTTCAAAACTACCTGCTATTGACGCGAATAGAAACAAAACTATGAAGTATGCTATCTGCTTCATTTTGCTGAGAATCTTTCAGTGAGCTCCAAAAACACTGGTAGGAACACCACAGTATTGCTGAATGCAGGTAATACTTGAACACTGTCAAAACACGATGATTGCCAATTCGAGGTGAATCACGAGACTTATAAAAATAGCTGCTACTCAAATGTCCACCTTAGCGATACGCTGCGTTACGTTAAAGGCAGGGACGGGGGAGTCGGGGGGTGTGGGAAAAAAGTTACTAAGAGGGGAGTCTCCTGAGTTACTTACTTCAAGTCGCTTGTCAGTTCCCCTTCGATCCCTTACATGGAATGTTAACAGCTCCGCCGTCCCTGAAAGGACAAGAGCCGGCATATAGCTCCTAGTACGCCTAGGATAATTAACAATCGATACTGAAATTAGTAATCAGCCTTTTGTTTTTTAAGTAGCCTGCACAACAGGTGCTTTATGATTCAAGGGAGGCGAACGCGGCATTTTGCGCGAAGGGCGAAACGAGTGTGAAGTGCGCGCGAGACGAGGAGTTAACTTAACAGCGCTTAAACATGTTCAAGCTTTGGTGTAAAAGACCTTATTCACCGTACCTGCATCTTTGCACGTGCTCTAGGGACATTTCAGGGGGCAAACAAGTGACAAAAATTTTCCAATACGAGTGGTATAATTTGCCGTATTCTTTCGAAAAGAGACGATGATTTTTATGATGGTAATGCAAAATTAATGTACAGTCAAGAGTTTCGATAAGATTTACCTCGTTATTTCTGCCGGGCGGTCATTGATTACGGTCGCTATTTCATTAACTACAAACATTTTAACCACAAAGGACTGCAAAGGACCGCAAACGAATATGCCGAAGAACGTAGGATCTATAAAGACCTGATCAGCAGAAATGAAAAGTAGACATATTAAATTCTGCAAGCAGAATACTGCAATACTGTTCGTTCTACGTGGAAATTAACTCTGCAAGACATCAACACGACACCGAAAGAACTCAAAAGAGCTGTCTATGGCTACAATCCCGCTCTGTTTTGAGTTCTTTCGGTGTCGTATTGATGTCTTGCAGAGTGAATTTTCACGTAGTACAATCAGCATTGCAGTATTCTGCTTGCAGAATTTAATATGGCTACTTCATTACTTTGCCATCATTGTCTTCAACATGAAAACTTCTTCATTTTCTGTTATCCAGAAAAAACAAACTCGACCGCGATTTTTTGCAGCGGCAAATTTGCCCCCCCCCCCCTGAGAAACCACGTGACATTGCTTTTATCCCATCAGTCAGAAACTGGCACTAGGACCTGAGGCACGCAAGCGGGGAGGAATGTAACCTGCGAGAAAGCTCCCATTTGGGGGAGTTGCGAGAAGTCACGCGAAAGCAGCCGCTCGCTAGCGCGTGCACTCGCGCGATCGCGGCTCAGCATAATAAGGATCTTGAATGTTGAATTCAATGCTTCTACATGGAATTTTTAAGCCTTGTAATTCTTTTTGCTGTTTTTAATGTAAGTGTTCTTGGTTTTTAGCACGTATTTTTGCTTAAAAAACAATAAAGACCTTCATTTATTATTTATTTATTCACCATAAATGGAGAGTTTGCTAGCAGGCTAGGAGGAGTGGGGGCTGGGCAGATGGGGTGGTAATTCCTTAAATTCCCACCTTACATTGGTGTGCCTCTAGTTCTTTACATCAGAAACATTTTTGAAGGCAAAACCACAACGACAAACCAGTGAGGGTCCGCCGGATCTTTAGTAGACCTGGATCAGTATACCCTGGCGCTCGTGCCGAAAACGTGTCGGCCTTCGGCCAACACCGAAACTTCCCGCCGCACGCGAGAAAAACCTCTGGTACCCAGGGTAGGATCAGTAAAATCTTGAGTACCAAATTTTAAACTTAAAACAGTAACCTGATCCTTATGGCAGGAAGAGTGATAGAAAAATTAAAGAAAGAAATTAAAAATAAAATGGTAAATTATATCTGCCCGATATTTCGGTTTGCAACACAAACCTTCAACGAGGGCTATAAAAGAAAAATGAATGCAGATAAAAGATGAACCTGGTTTCGTAAGCCAGTGTAAGCTAGTCTCCGTATGAGTGTCATACAGCAGGTTATAATAGAGAATTTATGAATTATAACTTCCTAAGTTATAAGATTCCTCAAAATGTGTGTTACCCTGATAAGATATTCTCCAGTGTCCGGGCTTGCTTTGGAAACACTTGAAATTGAAGGCAAGGCTAATCGGACAGCTAAAGGTTGGTAATATATTTGCCCAATATTTCGACTAGACAACTGCTAGTCTTCGTCAGGGGCTAGAAAAAGCAAGCGGCAATACTCCTTTTTATGTAGACCATGAGAAGACAAAAATCAGAGTTGCTCAGTCAATCGAACCACAATTAAACTTGGTCTTTGGGGCCATAAAAGGCTCCCGCGGTCAAATTGTTTTATTTAATAAACAACCTAAAGAGAAAAGTTCATTGGTTTACCTTTTTCTTAAGCAACGAAAAACAAAGCAAAACAAACCAAACCCACAAAAAAGAGGCAAACAAAAAATCAAACAAGCACAAATCCCTCTTCCGTGTAGCCCGCGAATGAGCTCTCTATTTGGTGATGACAATGATGATGAAAGGACACGCGCGAGTGGTACACGAAAGGAGGCGCAAGAGCCAGGGTCACCCACTCGCGGGTTCTCGCGTGGCTTACTTTGCTCGCTGCTCGAAATGGAGAGCTTCCTCGCAGGCTATCTCCCAGGTTACTACAACAATGAATCCAAGTATACAAGTCTACATGAATTAAATTAAAACCCTGAGCCCGCTTCGCTCTAAGACCGATTAGCGCAGTCACATCCTCTTGACATAGCCTCTTTAATCGGTGACAACGAAGAGACAACTAAGAGAGTCTTTAAAGCACAACTTTCTACGTTAAACTAAACAAGAGGATAGATGGCGTCTGTGGCAATCCCACACTGATTATCTTTGTTTCTGGACATCATGATATAGCCTTGCATTCCCCATTGGGTCCCCCAGGAGTTTTTGACCAGCCAGTAGTCCTTCCCTTCATATGTACCGTATCCAACGACGAGAACTGCGTGGTCAAGATGAGTGCTGCTGCAGTATCTGAAAGTAAAACAAAGATAGTTTCATAAACCGGAAGAACGTATCTGTGAAAAGTCTGTACCCATGTTGGTAACGGGCGGGATTTATCGCCCTGTGAGGGGTCGGGGTGGGAGACTCAGAAATAATAGTGATAAGGGTATGCAAACCCCTTTGCTAGGTTTAACCTGATTTGTGATCTGGAGAACATTTTCGGGTTAGAAATCTTGAGTTGACTTTATGGGTAAAAGACTTTGGTGCAAACTAACAATTTGTGCTTAACTTGATATTGGACATCCATGTTATGATCAATTGACAGCTGTCAAAATAGGGTATCTGCTGACCAGTGTTGCATGACTTTATAGTGGGCACTGGTGTACTACTCATTGAGGCGTCTTGTATTTTTAATGTTGTCTGCTGACCTTTTATCCTTTTCAAGTGATCGCAAGCCCAGAAACTTTTACTTGAGAAAGACACTTCTCGAAAAGTTTTCACGAGAGCTTCGCTTTTGGCCTTGGCTTAATCTATGTATTATACTTACGGCTTATCGTAGACTCCGTCATGATAAAACTGGAACGAAGAATGACTAGCATCGATGGCAACGGAGATTGGTCCGACTGTGGCTACAGCGGACAGAAGGTCATGTTCGTTTCCTTCCCTGATTCTTTTGAAACCTGGCAGCCAAAAGAGAGAGAAAAAGCAAAACAAACAAACAATTTCTTCGTCTACCTTTGCTAATCGAATTGGGCTTGTTTCAAACGTCGTGCTGCTGTCGTGCTAAGCTGGCGCGACTGTAGCTCGACTGCAGCACGACACTAGCACGACTTGGTTTCAGACGTCGAATTTAATTCAGTCGTGTAGCGCAGCAAGTCTTGCCGTGCTACTCGGCAGTAGCAAGGCTTGGTTTGAAACGTCGCGCTACTGCCGTGCTAAAGTCGAATTTACTAATAATTCGATCAACTGAATTATGCACCTTTTAACTCTCGCAAAGAGGAGAAGGGAAAACCGGAGTACCCGGAGAAAAACCCTCTGAGTAAAGTAGAGAACTAACCCTGCTAACAACAAGGATACTGCCTGAAAACACTAAGCAACACTTTGCTGAAATGTCATCGAATTTACACACCTTTAAGAGTAGCTCCGACATAGTCAGAGTCAAAATGGCAACTTCCAGTTCGACCTCTGTATGGATAGCTGGACTCAGTATCAATACCGCCATTACTTTCAATATACCTTCAAATTACAATGCATTATAGAAAGAGTGTATTAACACACAGTCATTTTCACTTGACATCAATGCATTCTAAAATTACAGAACTAAAGCCGTCGAAGTTTTTAATATTATCCCGGGGGGTTGGGGGTGGGGGGACTCCCTTATGAAAGGGGCGAGGATGCCAGTCGTCTCGCTTAGGCGTGTAAATTTCAGATTTTGGTCTCACTTAGGGTGTTCTGGGCAAAACACCATTATATTTAGCAGTAAAGGGTTGCACTCGAAGGGTTGCACTCGAAGAAATATGAACAAATTATATATTTTCAATCCGTTTTATTTACTCGATTCAGGTAATAAAAGTTTAAACAAGGGTTGGGCCACGCCCAGATTGGTCTCCTTTAGGGGTTTCATTCAAAATTTTCGACGAGCATCCCCGCCCCTTTCATATGGGAGTCTCCCCCTGGAATATTGTTATGGTAGAGGAAGAAGCGCACCAGACTGCAAAACAGTCTTTTTTTCCCAAAAAAATCCGTTTACCGCAGCGTTCGAGTCTTAAACGCGCGAAGCTCTCCGTTTTTAGCTTTGCTCCAGACCTTTTGTTTGACTCCTCGCGCGTAATTGAATATGCAAAAAGAAGGACAGTTTTTCAGTTAAAAGCGCACATGTTATTTTGCACGTCATGGTGTAGTTCAAGTATGTTTTACGTATGTTTTTTGTCTCAAACGCACTGCTTAGTTCTCAGTAGTAGTACTTTACTGTATGGTAGAACAAAACCCAAGTACTTACAATCATAACCGTAACTAGCACATCTGCCAGTACAAAAAGATGTTGCTCCTCATGAGTAGCTGCGATTTTCAAGTGATTAAAGACTGACTATCGTATGATTTATGTATGGGTCTAAAAATAGCCCATATTCAATATTTTTAAAAAATTCTCACTTGGCTCCGAGGCTTTCTGTTTATATTTCTATACTTGGTTTGGTTTTCTTTGTGCTCACGTCTCTTCTGGGAGTTGCGAGACCATGGAGTCGCGAAAAGTTGCAATTTTGTCGCTTAAGCCTCGGAGTCATGATGTTAGAATTTTAATAGATGGTTTTTTTCCCCGAGATTTTACGAATTTTAAGATATTTTAAGTATTAGAAGATATGTTTATGCGTACTCGAGAACAAGCATACGTACGCATAAACATACCCTCTAATACTTGAAGTGGTGATACTATTAAAAATCAAGAGGAGAGACTATTTTTCAACGAGACAGCATTCCTATTTTCGTGTCACGCACTGTGAAAACTCGGGATTACAAATTGCTGTATTTTCGAAATGAAACATGCTACGGAAATGGAAACTTGTACAAAGATTTACTTTTTGTTTATCTTCAACGTAGTGTAAATAAGAATTTGTAAAACCTCGCTATTATGACTTTACAATTTGATGACGTCACAGTGAAAACCGTCTATATATCGAATGTGGGCCATTGAAAATTAAGGATGCCTGCGTCACCCGAAAGCACATCCCATACGTTCAAACGAGCTTAAAATTAAAAGACTGATTATCGTTTGACTTATGTAGAAGTGAAACTTAAAAATGATCCCTTACTTGAAAGCATTATCCATCAATCCTCCTTCACAACCAAAATTACCGAACTTTCTTGAACAGTCCACGAGGTTCTGTTCGCTGAGTGAGACAAGGTCTCCCGTTTTATTGAAGTGCTGTCCTTCCAGCGATCCTGTTGCACTAAAGGCCCAGCAAGAGCCACACCGACCTGGCCAAAAAAGCGAAAGTATTGATTAACAGATTCAATCCGTCATACAGGTTATCACCATGACGCATGTGTATTACTGTCGTCTTTAAGATTTGGTCGTTTGTTTTCCTAGATCTTTTTTCCTCATACCGTAAACTTCCGCTTACAAGCCGTAGGCTTATAAAACTTCGTAAGGGGTTTTAGGGGGGCTTCACGGGGGGCTTATATCCCTGGGGCTTACAACAGGACTAAGAATAGCGTTTCAAAACAAGCCTACATAGCAGTGCTGATCACAATTTACTAGCTCTTTTGCGCCTCAAAAAGTCGTGAAAATCGAATTCACTTCAACCCAAGCTAGAGGGAGTGGGGGAGAGGGGAGGAGCTTATATCGGGGGGCTTATACCCCGATGTCTTTGTTTGTTTACATCTAGATGGGCCTATAACTGGGCGGGATGCTAATCAGCTGAAGTTCAAGGTATGTTTACAGCGGGTACTGCTGAAAAGTTTCGTTTAGACCAAGATATGTTCCTTTACATTCCTCACTTTAAAAACGAGAAAGAAACTGAGTCGAGTTGGCTTTCCCAAAGGCTTCTGGGATCATTAACCAGAAGTCTTTGCGAAAGTAAACTAGGCCCAGGTTCCTTCTCGCATAGGTTTTGGAGTCTTGTCTTTAGATTGCGCGCATTTTCACTGGTGTCCCCTTGCCAAAGAAACGTTGCACTCAGTAAAAAAAAATAAAAATAAGATAACCAGCGGGTCAAAGCGCCTCTGCTTTGTAACTGGGCATGCGTGATTCACAAGAGTGCGCCAATGGAACGCTGGAGAGGCTTGATGCTGAAGAATGCCCACCTTGGTCTTTTACTGGACTAACAAATCCCTTGGTTCTCCAATCCACTTTAAAAGGAAGGTGAACTCCGCCGGGAGGGACAAAAAGTGACTCTTCACTCATATTTTTGGATAAATCAGGACGAAATCCGCGAAAGTTATCGGAGAGGTATTCATCTTGCGTCAGGTCACCAAACTGGTTCAGTCCCAGAGTGTAAGAATATCCCATGGAATTGTGCTGTTGAATTTTCTAGAAAGAAAATTCGATTTGTTTAGTTGTTATAGCAGAAGTATCATTCCGAGTGACTAATTTGAAATGCTTGTTTTTTTTTTTAATGATCAAAGTCAGAAAAACATGACAAATTAATGACAAAAGAGAAACAAAAGTGAGGAGATCGTTTGTGTGGATCAAAGGATTTCACTGGTTTGTCTGAGTTTCAGTTTTATCGTAGTAACTGCGTGCAAAGCAAATCGAAATTTGTAAATTGTAATGGAAAACCTTTGGCAATTCCTTAGCTCAGCTACTCTTCAAATTGTAACTTATTAATCTATCAAGAGCAGGAGCCGATTACCTGATCAAGAGCCATAATGGATCTTGATATATGTATTTTGATTAATTTTTTTTTCGTCCCCCCCGGGGGCCACGTGTAGATTATCGAGGGATATTAAGTGTCACCCTCGATAAAAAAACGTTTTATAATTGTTCGGTTGTAATATCCACCAACTTAGGTAAGACGTCCTTTAAATTCTCCGCTCCAAAAATCTGGGAGACTGTACCGCCTGGTCTCAAGTGTCTGCCATATCATAAGTTTAAGAAAGAATGGAAGTCCTGTCTTCTAACCAACCAAATCTGACCTTGCTCATATGTTTTATCACTGATATTATTTGAGATTTTATTCCTCTCTTTACTGCTGCCAATTATTTCAATATGACGGTGTCCAACAAGAAAGCTCTTGCTACTTTGGACACCGTACACAAATGAACTTAATATCTTTTAGTTAATTATTATTTGTAGCTACTTTATTTTCCTACTATGTACACTTATGTAAATATCTTGTGTAGTGTGAATAAAGAATTGAATTGAATTGAATTATGATTTATTACTCACAGCTATTGTTATTATAATAATAATAATTATTACTATTGATATGTACAGAATGAGTTGTAGCATTTGAGCACACTAGCGGCTAAACCCGATAGACGACTCAGTGATAAAAAAAACGAGATATATTGAGAGCTTGAAAAATGAACCGAAACCATTCTTGTTCTTGGAGAGAGGAAGTACCACTCTCTTGATGCTGACTCGTCCCCAGTCTGCGTGCCACTGCACAACAGACAGGTGAGAGACATCTAGGGATGAGTCAGCTCTGGCATGTACACGTCTTTAGTTCAAAGTTTCTCAAAACCCGTGCTTCAAGACTGTTGACGAAAGACCCTCACGAAATAATCTGTACTTGACTTTTTCATTGAAAGTACAGTGCCTAGTACCTCAATTTCGAATCAATCCCAACAAAGATTATATGTTAAACCGTTGGATAAATAAATAATTAGATACAACAGCGAAGAGACATCGGCAGTAATCTGTTTCACCCGGTTCTCATATGCTGTGTTCACGTTAAAACTTAAGCACTTTTCCGTCCTATCATAACCTAGTTTTAACGTTTGTGCAGTTGTTAACTGGGATTGCAGTGTGGCAGCGTTTATATTCGATGTCTAGTCGAGCTGGTCCGAACCAGGCAGTAAAGATTCCTTTGTAATGTGCTAGAACATCCATAAGATGTAAAATACTGAAGTGTCTCAAATAGTTTGTTCTATGCTTTAGAAGCCTGTTTGGTTAATTTGGAACTGTTCTAAAAACTATTTATCTGTTCGGAAGTCTTAAAAATGTTTGGCTTTTTCGTCTCACCCGAAAATGTTAGCTACTCTGATTGGTCCGGTCGAGAGTTCGAGGACATGGAGTAGCCATACATGCATTAGAAAATTATACAGGGACGTTTTGTTTTAACTATTACAGGGTTCTATCTAGGATTTATCATTTGGGGGAGAAGTCCTGAGTGGCTGAAGGCGACAAGCAGCACTGAGGTGCAATCTGGTGCATTTTGAGACACAATTTTGAGAAATGTTACAGTGTGTGCACTAACCTCGTCGCGTCTTGACGATTTTTTCGATATAGTTACTTATATACTGTAATGATGACAATATTTTTTGGGGGGAAGCTGGGCATTTTGGGGGGGGAAGCTTCTACCCCTCAAATACCCTAGATAGAATTCTGTATTAAACTACTTACCCTGAGGTTGTCTCTCCAAATAGCGTAACGCACTTCTTCTTCGGCGTCTGTCTCGTATTTCCTTTCGTAATATGACTTCCAAGAGTACCAATGTTCCTCATATTCACGAAACTTAATGATTTCTCCGCTTACAAAAGGTAATAGGCACAATAGTAAAACAATAAAACCTTTCATTTTAGACGCTGTACAACTTCACTTGTTTTACCTAAAGCCGTAAGAAGCACTACTGGAGCAACGAAGTCTCACATGCATGAGAGTAACATCATGATGTTTCAAGTCCTGCCAGATTCATGAGACAAGCGTGAGTATCAATCAAAAGTCCAAGTCAACTCCACGTGCAGTGCGGTTACATGGTAAAAAAAAAATTGTATTAATATTTTCAGTTTATTTGCTTATTAAGGAGGTAACTCAGTAGTAAAAGAGTATACAGTGAAAGCTCTCATGGGAGGACACCCTCGGAACGCGAAAAAGGTGTCCGTTACTGGAGCTGCCGGCTTATTTTGTATGGGAGTTGAGAAAAACGGGGTTTGTGAAGGCGGCCGTAAGTAAACCTGTCCTCTTACTAGAGTGTCCGCTAGGAGAATTTTCACTGTAATCCTGTTTTGGCATAGGTACGGCGTCACCCCTCGAGACCTTATTATGCGCTGGTCTATAAAAGAACTGGAAAATAAGATTGAAGATGTCATAATTTATAAACACGTTCTGCGCTTGTTGAGTAGCCCGGATTCTCAGGTCTGTTCTTGTTCCAGTCCCCGAGCGCGGGCTCCTTTCTCGAACAGCGGCTGGAAATCAAACCTACTTGTGACAGCCTCCGCCACAGGCTTTTCCAAGGCTAAGCGAGAGACGAACTGAGTGAGAAACAACACGCGAGAAGCGCGAGAGGGGGATGATGGGAACGAGCGCAGAGCCTTCCTTAAAAATTTACTCAAATATCCCTCAGAGTGATCGCGAGCGACTGGAGACGAGGCATTTGTGAGATTGCTTGTTGAGTCGAGAAAATGGACCTAGCTACTTTGATTTTTGTTGAGTAGCCTCGATTTCAACCGCTTCCTCAGGTCCGGTCCTTTGTCCCTCCCAGAAAACGGGTTTCTATCTCGAACAGGGGCCTGTATAATAGAGCCTACCATTTCTATCATTTGTGAGTCGAGAAAAAGAGGTTGCGGAGGGAAGCAGCAAAAAGCGCTCTTTTTTTGCTGGTCCCTTAGCTCTTTCTAGCCTGAGAAAACAACCCATCAATGTTTTATTGAGGGGAATCGCAGTCATGACTAGTGCCTCGAAATGCCTGCACTTATCTCAGGCACATAATTCCTGAATTCCATGCAATTTGCACACTTTGAAAACGCTACACTGGATACATTTACATCAGAGAAAACAGGGGCCTGTTTACATGGAGCGAGGAGACCTCAGATTAGCCTGCGTAGCTGGAGGGATTAGCCCGGGATTAGCAGGTGAGTGCTGTAGTAAGTACCCCCGGGCACAACATCCCGCCGGTAGGTGAGGTAACCCGCTTAGGTAGGGTAACCCATTTGTTCATATAATCTCTCATTTTAATTTGATTACATGATAGGTGGGGTGACCAACCGAGGCGGATTGCCCAGTCTGCCAGGCCGGGTAACCCTCTCAGCCGGGGTCAAATTTTGCCATGATTCGTGATTCGTGATTCGTGTTACATCAAATTCGCGCCAAATTCAACTAACTGCCTTTGGTGGAGGTTCAACCATTTTTTTAAAGGTATTATCAATCGAATCAACCTAAGATTTTCAGTTTTGTAGTTGTTGACTTATAAAGTTCAGAAAAGGACCAATGTTTTATCTATTGAATTCAAAGTTATTGTCATTTGCTTAAAACCTGCTGTGGGACTCTCAATGTCCATTTCTTTGTCAAATTTGGAATTCCCAGTGAGGTTTAAACAATAATTGTCAATTATTTCGCAATAGACGAGAAAGCAAAATGTAGACCAAACGGTTTGCCTGTTTTAGCCAGCGTAGCATGCGTTTCCAATCGAGTTTTTGCTCGAAAGTTCGCGCGGAAACGCTTGCTACGTAGGCTATGCCTGTTTAAACAAGGCTGTTGTGCGCCTGAAATTAGTGAAACGTCCAGTCGATCCCTCATTTTTATGTGAGTATTTTTGATGGTAGCGTTATTTGCTGAGTTGAAATGAAGGCGAAAAGGAAAGAAAAAGAGAATAATAACAAAATGGAAGAGAGAGTGAGAGGGAAAGGAAAGAAGATGGAGCCCTATTCCAAGTCCGTTGCCAAATTTATCCACCATACTTTTTTTGCTGCGAAAACTATACAAAACACCAGAAAAGTGGCTGTAAGTGATTAGCGCTTTATTTCCTTGCACTTTTATTACACTTCAAACCGTCGTTGTAAATGCTTATGAAAAAGTTTAAAATGGATTAACAGCTTAAAACAGCACATAACTACGTTTTAAAACGCTACTACGATTACCGTTCTATTATTTCAAACAACTGCTAAGATAGCATAGTTTATTTTAAACAAGCGGATAGCTGGCGTCTGTGGCAATTCCACACTGATTATCCTTGTTCCTCGACATCATGATGTAGCCCTTCATTCCCCAGCTTGTCCCCCAGGAGTTCTTAACTAGCCAGTACTCCTTTCCTTCATATGTACCGTATCCAACAGCAAGAACACCGTGATCAAGCAGAGTTTGGCTGCAGTTCCTGAAAGAAAACGAATGTTTAGTGACGTTTGTCTTCGCAAATCAAAAGATTGTGTAATTGTTTAATGATTTTACCCTTAGCAATGAACTAAAAGATATCAACATCAGACCTGGGTACGTGAAAACCCCCGAGACTCCTTGCCTCGCCTTTGTTTGCATGCGCGAGTCGCAAAACTCCTCCCCATTGCTTTTCGCTGGCGACGAGGTTGCGCGTAGCACTCTAACGGGCAGCCCAATAGTCCATGACAAAATACGATGCTTATTGCCTCTTCTCATGGAAACGAGTTTCGTGCTCCTCGATTCTGGCCGTCTCCAAGTATACATACCCGTGAAAGCTGAACGTGAAACTATCCTATTTTGAAACAAGACTTAATGCAGGGCTGGCACTACGGCAAAGGGCTGATTTAACAGAGGCCAATATTTCGGCTGACAAAATAAGCCTTCCTCAGGGCTAGAACTATACCGAGAGAAAATATCTTTTAACGGCTCCTAAAATTTGAATTTAAAATTCACATAAGTGGTCAATAATTAACTACAATTATTAATACTAGATAGAATAATGTAGTTTAACTTTTTGGCCAATAAAAGTAAAATTACTTGATGTCGATGACGATGAACACAACACCCCCATTTAGACAAGGACATACAATTTTAAATGTACATTGTTTATTTAAAAATCAACGATACTTACGGTTCATTGTACACTCCCTTTTTATAAAACTGGAACGAACCATGACTAGCATCGATAGCAACGGAGATTGGTCCGACTGTGGCTACAGCTGACTGAAGAGCAGATTCACTTTTCTTTTTGATGTCCATGAAACCTAGTGAACGATAAAACAAACATAAGTGCTCGGTTGTATATCTAGCCGGATTTTTGATACCGTTATCGCCAAATGGACCTTTTGCGTCGAACAGTTTTTTTCGGCCAAAAACTCCAAAGTAGCTCATTATAAAAACTAAGAGTGCAACCATCGCTTTTTGCTGATCTCCTCGCTCTTTCTTTTTCTCTTTTCCTTTTCCTTCGTTACAATGATTTTGGAGCCGTTCTCGGGCTTAAGAAATATGCCTTTTGACAATTTGCACTCAAATGACTGCAAATTTCGCTAGGCTGGTTTTCAAAAAATCGGCTAAATATATTTCCTACTAATTAGACTGCGAGTAGTCTCTCTTTTTCTTCAGATTTAGTGAGGGAAGTGCAAGCGCGCGCGAGGGTCAGGCGGCGAAGCCTCTCTCGCGCCTTCAGTCACGCCGTGGTCATTTGCGTGTCTCGCGTGTTTTGCTCGATGGACCAAGAAAAAAAAGAGACTGCTCGTAGTCTACCCACTGATTGGATGCAAGAGAGGATCTCTCTTGTTGGATGTAATTAATTTTCACTTTTGGTTTTGGTGCGTTTATTTGATCCTAGTCTTTATTGCTCTTTTCCTTTCCTTTTCCTTTTTTTCTATACCTACGTACTTTTTGGTTGCCCAGTTTATTGTCTTTCTTTCCCATGGAATTTCGGCCGGCTGACCAGGATAAAAGGAAATTTATCTTAAAAGAGTAGTAGGCGAGTAGCGAAATTGGCAGTGTTTTTCTCCACAAATGTTAGTAGTAATCACTGAAACTGAAAACTTGTAAGTCGGTGTATCTTTAGCGTCTCTCCCTGGTCTGGCTCTCCGTTTTCAGCCTCGCTCCAGGTCTTTTGTTTGACGGTGTCACAGCGTTTTGGGCATCCCCATTCCCAAATCCCTAGCGTTTTGGGCATCCCCTTCTCATATTACTGCAGCGTTTTGGGCATCCCCCGGTACCCTCCCGGGATGCCCAAATCGCTAATGTTTTGGTCATCCCCTCCAAAAAAATGCTCCATTTCGCGGGAAAATCGAAAACGTTTTAGAGATGGCTTCCGCTAAATATAGAAATCTTTTCCAGTATCTTAAAAAGAAGGCTTATCCGGAAGGCTTTACAAAGCAAAAAAACGACTCTGCGAAATTTGCCAAAAAGTTCGAGTATGACTCAAAATTAGAGTCCTTGTTCTAGGTGGCCAAGGAGAAGGATCAGCACAGCGCTTCGACGAATTGTTCACCGAGGAAGAGAAAGCGAGGGTCTTCGAAGAGTGCCACTCTGCTCCTTTTTCTGGACACGCCGGCCGCGATAATACTTTTGCACCCTGTGAAGGTTGTTCCCAAGGTGTGGTACTCGGTCGGAATTGATTTAATAGAAGCCCCTACTACATCTCAAAACGGCAACAGATTTCTTCTGTCCCGTAGATGCAAGAGGCCTCTGTATAAATTGTGTGACAGCCTTTTGTGTGTCAAGTAGCGCTGCGGGGTTAGGTTGTACAGGCCTCAAATGTCATGCATACTATGAATTCAACATCGCAAAACGCAGTTTTATTCATGTTTGTCCTTTTGTTTTGTTTAGTATTCTTGTTTTTAGCTGTTTGGAATCAGACGATCGCAGCTGCCGGCGATTGCGGCATTTCTCGCTCGCTATTAAATAAAATTGAAGCTTTGCAAACAATGAAGCGTTGTACAGCAAAGGGATGTTATGCAGTTGTAAATTTCAGTTTCGTCCCGTTTTGAGCCAACGTTTACTGCCTATGGGTTTTTTTTTTCTGCGCAATAAACCTGGCGAAAAGTGTCAGACGATATAATTCTAACATGCAACAACACTATTCAGCCGTAAATTCGTGATTGACAATCCCGACTTTTCCCCAGTCTGAAATAATTTAGGCAAAGTCGAAGCGATCAGAGTTTTGGGCATCCCCCACCCCCGGGCCCCCACCGGGGATGCCCAAAACGCTAGGGATTTGGGAATGGGGATGCCCAAAACGCGGGGATGCCCAAAACGCTGTGACAACGGTTCGCGCGTACTTGAATACTCAAAAATGCGGACTCTTTTGCAGTCTAGTTCAGAAATGCATAATCTGCATCCAGTTTCGTATTAACTCGAAATGGTCCAATCGGTACCGGGAAAGATGCTCTATAACTTACCAGTGTCAGTAGCACCGACATCAGCTTTCTTGAATCTACATTTTTCATCCTTTGCTTTGTATGGATAGCTGGCCTCAGTGTCAAGTCCACCATTTGCTTTGATATACCTGGAAAAAATAAAATGATTTTAAACCGAATGAATGTATGATGCCGTTCTTCACTGAGAATGAATGTAAATGTCTATTTGTTCACCCAGTGACTTAAATAGAGCGGTAACTTGTTGAAACAACAACGAGAATTTAAAAAAAGAGTTTAGGGGAGTTGTTGCACTTTCCCAAATAAAAACAACAAAACAAATGCACAGACATTCTTAGTTTCACGTCTGTGGACGAAATTCTGTGACGCAAATATTAAGTTAAATCATCTTAGCATTACTTTTGCCTGGTACAATTTCTTTTTAGTATTCTCGAAGCCTGAAATGGATTTTCCCTTCTCCTAGACTTTTGGAGCTTAAAAATAAAAGACTGATTATCCTTTGACTTATGTAGAAGTGAAACTTAAAAATGATCCCTTACTTGAAAGCATTATCCATGAGTCCTCCTTCACAACCAAAATTACCGAACTTTCTTGAACAGTCCACGAGGTTCTGTTCGCTGAGAGAGACGAGCTTTCCAGTTTTCTTGAAGTGTTGTCCTTCCAGTGATCCTGTTGTACTGAAAGCCCAGCAAGAGCCACATTGACCTGAGAAAGGCAAAGATGCGATCTAAGAGTGCAGAGTAAAAGGATTTTTGAGTACGCGAGTTGAAAAAACATCAGCCTGCAGGCCTCAGGTCGATAACGTATTCAGTCACGAATTTATCCACTGCATAGCGTTATCCGCATTTCGAACAACTGAGGCCAAACAGGCGTTATTTGTTTAGGTTTTTCAGACGAGCCAAGGAAAGGGCAAGGGCAAGGCCGGCGTGGATTAAGAATTTCGCACCCCCACCCCCTCCCCCGCAAAAAAAATTCCCCTGGCTCCTCCACTGATTAGGTCTAGTTTGGTTTAGGAGAGAACGTTTAAACCGTGATTTGCAGCATACCTTGATTCTTGACTGGGGTAACGTATCCCTTAGTTCTCCAGTCCACTGTTTTGGGTAGGGTGACTCCACTGGGAGGGAGGAACGTTGACCCTTCACTCTCAGTTTCATTCGAGTAATGAGAACGAAGTCCCAGGAAGAAATAGCGATATTCATTCACTGTCAGGTCACCAAACTGGTTCATCGCCATAGTGAAGGAATGTCCTTCGGAATTGTGCTGTTGAATTTTCTAATATAAAGAGGAAGAAGTGATTTCAAACACACCTTGAAAAGAAGTAAAAGAGGTTGATATAGCTTATATAATAAATTCGTTTCCTTTACAAAACCTAAGTTTTAGAAAAAATGGCAAATTGCGCATAGCTGAAGACACGTTCATTCAGTGCTCTTGAATTTCCTAAATAAAAGTGACATGGTCGTGTGGAAGTTTTCAACCACTGCTTAAGAAAAACCAGAAGTATACATGATCCACGGAAAAAGGAAAGGTTTATTCGGCCATAGACAGAAGTGTCCTCCTTCTCTTCACCCCACCCTCGAAAGGGCGGAAGGCGCCTTGCCGCCCGTTAAGGAGGGGGGGAGAGTCTCTGTTTGAAGAAAGGGTGAAAAGCGGGAAGGGAAAAGGATTTTTCCACCCTTTCCCCAATTAGAGAGCCTGTTCACAGGCTAACCGATTCCCTCCGTTGAAGTATTTTGTTAGAGGCAGTACATGTGTATTGCAAATTGCAAACTAATCTTTCCGGCCTGTTCGAAATACGTTGACAGGATGTATGAACTTGAACTTGCTTCTGTATTTTTAGCCTGACATGCGAATACAGCTTTCCCTCCCATCTCATCGCCGCCAGGGAGGCCAATTTGGAATGATCAAAATTCTTACTTCACTCCGAAGCTGAGACGAATCAAATAAATCAAAATTAATTTTCAATCCCCGAATCTCGTTCTTGTGTTTTATTTCCCTCAGCCTCGCACCCATGACGAATTTTAATAATTTGAAACTAACCTATTCGCGGGCTAGAGTTCCGGCGTGCGTCGTATTAAACTGGTGCCACGCAAACTAAAACCTGGAGTTATATATGGTGAAACGAGTTCTCATTTCAACTTTTAACCCTCTGGTGTATCCATTTAACTGAAACCTATTTGAGGAACGTTTGCAGTATTATCCAAATTTTTGAATTTTAGTTACATAAAAATGTGGTGGTATAAAAATTGTTCTTTGGGTCCTTTGAAGAGGGAAAAGGTTTTTTAAAAAAAACCAGATGCAGTTCAAGGGAAACTGAAATTCATACAAAGAAGAACAAGAAATGGAGCAGAAGAATGGTTTGCGGTGATGCGGTTTTGGAGAAATCCTTACTTTAACCTGCGGTAGGTGAATTTTTTGCGTACCAAGCGCTTTGCGGTTTTTATGACAGGAAGAATCAAAAGAGACACACGCAGTGTACTGGTTAGAGACGTGGGTTAGAGATAACCCATCCCGGATCCATCCACTCCTGAAAACTGATTGTGACGTGATGTGGAACATGTAAGCAAACAACGAAGAATTCGTCTCTCTCTTTCTGAACCTGGTTGCGAATAATCGTCTACACTGATGGCGTTGGAATAGGCAAGTTAAATTATGAAAGAACCGGCGAATTAAATTAAGCCACTGTGCCTTGTAACGGTCGTGCTTTTTTTAATTTTTTTTTTTTTTTTTAAATATAATAGCTCCTTGTTGCTGTAGAAAGATCACGCCGGTGAAAGTTTTTCCGTTGCTGGCATATCGATGCGTTTCTCCAAATCAGTGTTTTCATCAGTAAAAGGTTGTCGAAAAATTATTTAGGACAGCTTACCATGAGGTTGTCTCTCCAAATCGCATAGCGTGCTTCCTCCTCACTGTCGGTCGTGTATTTTTTACCATGAAAAGTTTTCCAAGCTTGCCACTGCTGCTCATACTCAGTATGTAAAATGTGGCCATTTGCAAGAGCTAGGCACAGCACGAAAGCTATAAAACCTTCCATTTTCTTTACGCCGTACAGAGTGGACGCTCCTCTTTATACCCGTGCACGTCGGTAACTGTCCCCAAAGATAGGAATGCTGGCATTTTGTCAACATTGATCGGAATGAATAGGAAGTCACAAGACCAGTGCGTGATGATACAAGACTTTTATTTTCTGACGCGGAGAGGAAACGGTTACATCTGTAGATTTTTATAAGGGACGAGGGGGTGGGGGATGGATTCGTTATCTGCGTTATCTTGTCTCTCTGAATGTTTATCCCATTGGCTGAGTTGTATCGTTTTATTTGTGTTTTCTTAGTGATGAGCGCTCGAATGAAACTTTCACTTTATATAGTTTTTTGTGCAGTTTTTAATTGTTTTTCGCAGTAGGCAAGATCTGCTGAATCACCCAGCCACGAGAAGTAACTGATACTCATGCCCTTTTGAAGTCATAATGATTCAGCACTGTTTGAAACCCTTGAAACATGAAACTGAAAAGTTTTGGTTGCATTGCTTACACACGTGATAATAATACACACCAACCTCGTTCCCAGGATCCTCTCTCTTCCTCGGAGAAAGGACCCTGGGAACGACGTTGAATACACCTAATGGAGTTTTTAAACCCGGAGTAGTCAATCGATAAAAATCGGTATCGATTTATCGAAAAAATCGGTAAATCTGATTTGATTGATATCGATTGTATATCGATCCGGCATCGGTAGAAATCGACATGATCGATGACACACTCGTTTCGTTCATCGATTTATCGCAGGACCCTCCTGTTTATCGTTATTTTTACCGATTTCATCTATTTATTTCATCTATTTTCATCTGTTCATCAAAAAATGAAAACTGATTCATGCAAACGGTAAATGTGTTGACAAAATATCAAACAATTGCCCTCACCTTTCAATTTTTATCTTTTGTTTAAAACCAGGTTTAAAATCTTCTTTTGATTGCTGATATTGGCCAGGTTTGAAGGCGCTCAGCTTTTCACGATTTAGACCTGACACCCTTTCAAAATTCCGGCTGTAGTTACATCCCGGAGTAGCCAATAGATAAAAATTTAAATCGATGAAAATCGTTAGCAATCAAGTGATTTTTATCGATTGATAACGGAAACGGTGAAAATCTATCTGAGGTAATCTTTTAACTGACCTGCTCAGACACCGGCCCCGGGGATGTCTGGAATCCAGGATAGGAGATCTTTACGTCGTGATACTTGGCAGCGACAACTGGATGTAATTAAACCAAACCGTTTTTGTTATTTTGAACAAAATAACAGGTTTAGAGAGAAACATGTGTGTGTAATAGTTTCCATATGCATTTTCATGCTTGTTGATCAGCTGGAAGTAGTTTCTCAGCTGTACTACTGTATCTAACTTGTGTCAGAAACAAAAAACGTCAACAAGATTAGATTTTGTAACTTCATTTCTACCAAGTTAAAGTTGTATAATGCTTTCATTTTGCCCAACTTTCAATACTGCACTACGGTGTGGCATTTTTGTAGTGCTAGAAACTGTGAAAAATTAGAATCTCTTAATAAGCGCGCCCTACGTATTGTTTTTAATGATAAAGTTTTGTCCTACCAGCGGCTACTACATAATTCAGAAGGAGCAGCTGTATACAACAAAAGGATACAATATTTACAAAAGTTTTCCTAAGTATCTTAAAGACATGCTTACTTTACGTCAGTCTGTATACTCTTCAAGAAGAACTAATATTTTACCTCTATGTGAACCTACTACTACTACTTATAGCCTCAACTCTTTTCGTTACTTTGCATCTAAGAAATGGAACTCCCTTCCCAATAATGTAAGATCTGAGCCTACTTTATCTGGTTTTAGAAGACTCCTGAAAGCAATCTCCAGGGGCACCCAACGAGGATATAGTTCAAAACCACTTAACATGGCATTGTTGAACGTATTTTAGTATTCAAACGGCAGATATAGGCATATTTTTATCCCCTAAAAACTTTTCATCTGTTCGGATTTCCTAGCTGAAAGTCTAGTGATCCGAAAATTATAGGGATAAAAACTTACCTTCTCGAAAATTTCAGCCAGGAAAAGGCCCCCGAAAATTCTAGGTGGCCTTTTTTAGGGTCAAAATCCGTTAAAAATGAGTAATTATAACATTTTGTAGATGTTCGAAAATCCTAGGAGAGGCAGGCAAGCAAGAAATTTTACAACAAATGCTCCGAAAATTCTAGATCTCAAATCGTCTTCCGAACAGATATTTTCCCGAAAATTGCCGTTGGGTGCCCCTGAATCTCCTTTCAGACATAACGGTGTATTTAACATTTGTCATGTATGTGGGAAATAGATTTTTCTGTATTTAAACAGATTTATTTTATGTATGTAAATAGATTTCTCTGTTTTTTTTTTTTCTCGAAGATATTAGCCTTTCAGGCTACTCTGAAATTCGAGTATAAATAAAGTTAATGTTATATTAACCACGTCACGAAGGCGGACTTTCGTTATAAATCGTTAAAATCATGAAAAATCGATAATATCGATTTGACACAGCAATTTAGTTTATCGATTCCACCGCTTTCCAGTATCAATCGATAAAAATCACTTGATTGCTGCAGACTTTTATCGATTGACTACTCCGGATTTTAAAAAAAGGTCAAGCAAACCGGAAGCGTGAGTTTTGCATTCTTGAGCAGTGGTTTTGCCCAAAGTTTGGGCCAAATAGTCTCTGTGAGAGTAAAGACACAAAGCTATACAAACTTGTAAAAAAGGAAAAGGCTTCAGTGCGCGCCAGTTGACATGCGTTGCTTAAAAACGCCTAATACCACGGCTGCCACCATAGCCTGCGTCGCTAGCTGGCGGGATCGTCACGTCAGCGCGTATCGTATTGAGGCAGACAGTTTCGAATCCGCTAGGAGAATGGGGAAGAGACTGGAGGAGAGGGGAAGAGGTTAAAAAATTACAAATGCAGGATTTTTTTATGGCCAACTTGGGATTCCTTGCCCTTGCACTGTTTTAAAAAGAAATTGTCACCCCCTCCGATTATTTCAAAATGTGTTCACTACTTTGTGTTGCCTTGAAATTGCGCTGTCGCCATAGAAATGTCAGTTTGTTTGTACAAACATTGACCACAAAGGACTGCAAAGGACCGCAAACGAATATGCCGAAGAACGTAGGATCTATAAAGAGCTGATCAGAAAAAATAATAATGTAGACGTATTAAATTCTGCAAGCAGAATAGTGCAATGCTGATCGTACTACGTGAAAATTAGCTCTGCAGAGTTAATTTTCACGTAGTACGATCAGCATTGCATATAGCATTGCACTAGTATTCTGCTTGCAGAATTTAATATGTCTCAGTTTGTTTGCAATGCGCTGTTTTTTGAAACCTTTCTGTCTAAGCTACAAAGTTGAGAGCTTTCCCTTTAACGACTGTAGTTAAGTATATTGTTTTTAGAGTCAAGCATTTCACAGACTAAGAAAAGATATATTTCAGCGTCCAAGGCGCTAGTTTGTTGAGATTATCTTGCTAATTATTTATAAAGGCCAGAGTAATGGAGTCAGAATGTAGGTTCACACTACCGCCAGTACCGGGACGAAGAACACAAAAATATTTCAGTTGGGGTCAGTACTATGATTCTACAGGGGCACCCAACGGCAATTTTCGGGAAAATATCTGTTCGGAAGACGATTTGAGATCTAGAATTTTCGGAGCATTTGTTGTAAAATTTCTTGCTTGCCTGCCTCTCCTAGGATTTTCGAACATCTACAAAATGGTATAATTACCCATTTTTAACGGATTTTTACCCTAAAAAAGGCCACCTAGAATTTTCGAGAGCCTTTTCCTGGCTAAAATTTTCGAGAAGGTAAGTTTTTATCCCTATAATTTTCTGATCACTAGACTTTCAGCTAGGAAATCCGAACAGATGAAAAGTTTTTAGGGGATAAAAATATGCCTTTATCTACCGTTTGAATACTAAAATACGTTCAACAATGCTACGTTAAGTGGTTTTGAACTACATCCTCGTTGGGTGCCCCTGATTCTATGATCGATTCACAAAAAAACCACCAAAAGGCTTCTGTTGATAAGCGTACTTTTCGCTATTCGCGCCAGTCCCGTGCAACGCGAGTATATATAAGAGCTCCGCATCTCATTTCTGCCCAGTTCGCGTAAGAATCCATTCGCTCTGTTAACCAATTCTTGTTTTATTAAGATGGCTGACGAATCGGTCCCGCCCCGGCCAATGTTACACAAGCTCCAGCTCTGCTTCAAACAGCCCAATCGCCAGTACAGTGCCGACGACTGACTTTCCGTCGCTTGGCGCTTAATGTTTTGCTTTTCACGGTATTATCCAGTAGCAGTGTTATTCGTACTCCTCGCTATCTGCAGTTTGTGCAGTGTTCTTCCCTCGGCCCCTCTTAAAGTTTTAGTGCTTTCCCTTCGGCTCCCGTAGTTTGTTGCACGCTTTCGTTGTTAGTAATTTGTTTTGCGTGTTTTGCCTCACAAACAACGGGTTTGTGCAGTGCTGTTCCCTCGGCTCCCATAAAGTTTGTTACACGCTTGTTTCGTATTTTGCTTTATTCAGTAATTTTTTGTTTTGCGTGCTTTGCCTCACAAACATCGGGTTTGTGCAGTGCTTTTCCTTCGGCTCCCATAAAGTCCGTTACACGCTTTTGTTACGCTTTATCAGCGTGTTTTGCCTCACAAACACGGGTTTTGTACAGTGCTATCCCCTAGGCTCCCGTAAAGTTTGTTGCACGCTTTTGCTTAATTTGTTTTATTCAGTAATTTTGGTTTTGCGTGCTTTGCTTCACAAACAGCGGCTTTGTGCAGTGCTATTCCCTCGGCTCCAGTAAAGTTTGTTGCACGCTTGCATTTAACTTTGCTTTATTCAGTAATTTTTGTTTTGCGTGCTTTGCCTCGCAAACATCGGGTTTGTGCAGTGCTTTTCCTTTGGCTTCCATAAAGTCAGTTACACGCTTTTATTACCCTTTAGTCAGAACTTTGTTTTGCGTGTTTTGCCTCACAAACATCCGGTTTGTGCAGTGCTACAACCTAGCCTCCCGTCAAGTTTGTTGCATGCTTGTGTTTATTTTGCTTTATTCGGTAATTTTTTGCTTTGCTTGTTTGCTTTTCCCTTCAGCTCACGTCAAGTTTACACCCTTTTGGTTTTCTTTACTTTATTCGGTTTGCTTTTGTTACGCGTGCTTTGCCCAACAATCTCCGGTTTGTGCTGTGATTTTTCCCCGGCTCCCCTCGAATTTGCACGCTTTATTTTTTGCTTTGTATTATTTAGTTTTAAGTTTGTGTTCTTCGTTCTTTCCCTCACAAATTTAATCTTCCTTCGATTCCCGTAAAGTTGGTTCATCACTTTTGTTGCATTTGTGCCTCAATTATTTGGTCAATCTGTTTGGCTAATTTATTTTTTTTTTTACACTGTTTACAGTGGTGTTATTTCCTCGACCCCTGTAGATTTTGAATGATAATGTTGCATTTTTCTGTAATTTGGTACGCATGTGTTTCGCCACGCGGCCTCCAGTTCTGCGGGTTTACTCCCTTGTCCCAGTGTATTTGCTCCCTTGTGTTCCTAGTTGGTTTTCTATTCTTTTAGTTTATGTGTGCTATTCGTTCCTCGCCTTTTATGCCGTCATTTCATATGCATGTTTTTCTTCCTGTGCTTCCGTGGTAGCCTGAAAGGGTGTCTAATGCCCCGGCAGTCGGATTACTGACGCTCAGGATGCCATCCCTTGGGTGGGGTTTTCTCTCGTTTTCTCTGTGCCTTAGGTTTCCTTTTTACCTTGGACCTTTATCTTCAGTTTATTTGCTTGTTGCCACTAAAGGGCTGGCAGCTTATTCGTGTTTTACCACGCAGTCCTTTTGGTATTCCCTGAAAGACCTCCTTGCCCAGCTCTCAGCAAGTATCAGCAGTCTAGTTGTTTCACTATACTTGGAGTTTCTGAGTACTTTTGTTCCATCCCTCCACCTTCAGTGTTGGAGAACTGGGTTTTCTCTTCTTTGAGTTTTGGGACACGGTTTTGAGTGTTGGAGAACTGGATTTTTCTGTTCTTTGAGTTTTGGTACCCGGTTTTGAGTTTTGGCAGTGTCTGCGGGGTTCTTTAGGACGTATCAAACGTTCAACCTCTTGGCGCGGTTCCATTTCTCCGTCTCTTATTCAGCGATCGTGAAAGGGACTGTCGCGAATAGTATGCTTTTTAATACAAGATATTATGCCTCAGATCAGGCGAGAAAATCATTCCTGCATGATTTGCACGTCTTTTAAAAGTTTTATTCACTATGTTCTTAATTCATATTCTACAGGCGGTTATGTCCTTTTATCGGACAGAAAAACGCCTTTACCAAAGAAAATTATTTTACAAAGCTTTTAGCTACTTCCGTTAAGTAAAATTAAACAAGAGGATAGCTGGCGCTGGTGGCAATCCCACATTGATTATTCTTGTTTCTCGACATCATGATGTAGCCTTCCATTCCCCAGCTTGTTCCCCAAGAGTTTTTGACCAGCCAGTAGTCCTTCCCTCCATAGGTTCCATATCCAACGACAAGAACAGCATGGTTGAGGCTAGTACTGCTACATGTTCTGCAAGTGAAAAAAGATTTACCATTCTTTACATTACCCATAATACACTTTGTTAACCTCCGCCTAAGGGAATGATTGCAGGCTAACCCACCCTCTTCAAACAGTTTTGTATTGCAATGGTTCCTAATTTCTCTTGGTTATTAGAGGAGGAAAAGTTTCCCCGCCCTCGCCCGATCTCTTTTAAGGGAGGGGGTATTGAATGTTAAAATGTTGAATAATTCATTCAGTTTGGTAAAAAAGACAATGATGTGAACCTTAAATGGAAACGTGCAGTTCTATTTTGAGACTAAAATTAGTAGAAAGAGGATAAGAAAAAGGAATGAAAGCTTATTTCATTTGTCCTTCGTTTCACGGTTCTTCCGCTTCAATATTTTCTCTCCCTTAATCGCCTTTGTTTTTATTTTTAGTGGCGTTAATATATAAGATATGAGATATTCTTCAGTGTTATTCCTGATTTTTTTTGTTCAACTATAAGAGACCTGAATACGGGTGTTGAATATAATCTAAGACTGGTTTGTAGAGGAAACTTACGGTTCGTTATAAACTCCACTGTGGTAGAGGTGAAATGAGCTGTGACTGGCATCAATAGCAACGGAAATTGGGCCTACTGTGGCACTAGCAATCTGAAGAGCTTCTTCGCTTCCAGTTGTAATGTCCATGTAACCTGTGTAAACACAGTAAGAAAACAGAGAAAAATAATCAATTTACCTTTGGAAAATCCTGCTGTATTAAATTCTGTCAAAGATGTTTTATTTCAATAGTGACATACTACTGAGAATTTCGCTCACAAATTATTCTACTTTATCAATTCTACTGTATCCAGTTATTTTTTAAAACGTGTAATTTTCTAACGATAAATTGAAAAGTTAATTCTGATTATCTGAATTCCTCAATTACGAACGTCTTACTGCTTTTCTAAGCGGCCAAACCGTCCCATAAAAAAGTTGACATTCGTCTGCAGAATTCGGACACGCTTACCAAAACTCTCTCCTTTCTTAGACCCGGCGGAGGGGGGGGGGGGGGGGGGGGGGTACTTGGGGTAATGTTTGCTTGGTATGTGCCTCTGGCCTCTCAGAGCCCCCATCCAATTTTAGTCTATTTTTTTGGAAAATGTAATTTTCGCGATCCCAACTTAGTCACTTTCTATCTATGCATCTACCTTTTGTGGTTTCAAGCGGGCAGAATGTAATGCGGTCAATGCGAACTTCTTGTTAAATTTAATAGACAACAGCTTTCTGATTTCTTAACCGAGAATCTTCCCATTTTGAATCCCTACTTACCCCCAAAATTCGAAAATTTGCGACCCCATTATAGTCACTCCAGTCGTGAAAATGCGACCCCATCCAGCGGCACATCCTTGTTAGGCTCTTGTAAGGGAGTACCCCCCCGGTTCTTAGAAAATCTTACCGGTGACCGTAGCTCCCACGTAGGCCCGTTGAAAACGACATTGTCCTTCCCTAGCCTCATACGGATAGCTTTCTTCAGTATCAATGCCACCATTGGCTTTGATGTACCTGAAAGCCTTATCCATGAGTCCTCCACTACAGCCACGGTTGCCGTAACGTCCGGAGCAGTCGACAAGGTTCTGTTCACTAAGTGAGACAAGGTTTCCAGTTTTCTTGAAGTGTTGTCCTTCCAGTGATCCTGTTGCACTGAAAGACCAGCAAGAGCCGCACTGACCTAAAAATAGTTTCGTATTCGTTTTAAGAGCCACGGTTCAAGACTGAACTTTACAGCATTCGATATAGAGAATTTAATGAAACGCATATTTTTACATTCCAAACTGTGACAGCAGAATTGAAACTTATTTGCCTCTACAGAAACATCTCTCCCCCCAGTTCTACTGTCTTTCTCTACCAGTCACATTTTATCTTTACTTTTTTAGTCCGTTCCATTTTTACTTTGCTTTTATAGCCCCCGATGAGGTTAGTTTGCCTAACCAAAGTATTGGGCAAATACAGATTACCCACATAGTTGTTCGATCAACTTTGCCTTTAAAGTTTTATTCTGTATTGTATTGCTGATCCTTATCTACACTGGGAACAACATCCGCTTCTTTTCGCTGTTGTTTGTCTATGTGGTCAAAGCGAGTTTACTGACGTTCGACCGGATTAGAAGTGGGCTACGAATACTACGCGTGAAATTAAAAATAACACTAAACGTGTTCTTTGTTCAGCGTAGACATGGTATAAATACTGTTAGAGAGCAGCATACCTTGATTCTTTACGGGAGTAACGTATCCTTTAGTTCTCCAGTCGACTGTGTCTGGTAGAGTGACTCCACTGGGTGGGAGGAAAGTTGAACCTTTTGTCCCATTAGAGAAATCAGAACGCAGTCCCAGGAAGAAATAGCGGTATTCGTCCACTGTAAGATCACCAAACTGATTCATGGCCAGGGTGTATGAATGTCCTTCAGAATTGTGCTGTTGAACTTTCTTAGAATATTAAAGAGGAACAAACAATTTTACACATTGAATTATAGCCCTTTTCCATAAATGTAGAATACTTAATTACCAAGAAGATTCCCTGTCACTCGTCCCCAAGACCCGAGTCGAGATCTTGCTCTCGGGATGCCATCAAATACGCAGACGAAGAAGGTGTGGAAAATATCGAGGACGTTTTTCACGCTTCTAATAGAGGACCTCAAATCCCTTCCCTGGGTACCAGAGTTTTTTTCTCGCGTGCGTCTCGCGGGTCGTTTCGTTCGCCACAGGCCGACACTTGTTCGGCCGAAGGCCGAAGACACGAGCGGCGAAGGTCACTTTTAAAGACTTGACCGAAACCGGAAACCACGCATGAAAAGCCTCTGGCACCAGGTACTAAATCCCCCGTCTTCTAACGAACACTAACGATGAGAAGATATAAGGCTTTATTGTCAAAATTAGAATTCAAATACAAGCGACTCGAGTTTCGCTTTCAAGTTCAAGGTCCTCTGAAAAATCGCAATTCAAAAGTTCTGTCACACACCCTTGGGTATTGTTCGTTGTTGCTTTAGAAAATTGGGAAAGAAAGCTGATTGAACATTAGAGTTGGCACGTTGTACAGGTAGTTTGCTTCTCCCAGAATACAAAACTGAATTTGGCATGTTTTTATGTAATATCGTTATTTGCTAAAGGTTTGAAAAATGTCCTGAAACTTGTCTTGAACTATTAGAACTATTGGTTCCTTCAGACACTGCATGACCACAGTTAGAACAATTAAGCCTTTCGCTCTCACAGTGAATGCGTGATGGAGTCTGCTAAGGGGATTCTAACTTTTGAGTCTGTGGACGAAATCCTATGATGTGGTCATTCAAATAAAACCTCTTCAGCAATACTTTCGCATGATACCATGGGCTCCTGATGATACTATTTGTTCTTCAGCATTTAACAAAATGAAATTTCGACTTTGGCCACTTTTGTTATCGCCAGTTATGGCTGTGTGTGAAGAAAGATGAAGAAGAACAGTATAGCGGTATCTCGTCGGGCTCGTCGGAGGATTACGCTGGGTACCAGAGGTTTTTTCTCGCAGGCGGCGATTGAGTGCGGCGGAGATGCCTAGGGGTCGGCCGCAGGCCCGGACACGTCTTCGGCCTTTAAAGCCATGGGCACCCAGGGTAGTCGATCGGTGACCCGATTTGTTTCATTTACGGGTTTAATTCCAATTTTTTGTCAAGCATCTCCTTCTCTTCATATGACGAAGGTGGGGCAAGGGAAGTTGATGGTATGTTGTTCAATGTTGCGAAAAGGCGAAAAGGTTAACGTCAAGACTGCTGTGTCACTTTTTAACTTTTCGGCAATGCTTTCTGCGAATGCCCGAACTTCGGAGGCTGATATTTTGCATCTTGAAAAGAAGGCCACGGAGAGCACGACCCGTATGTATGTATGTAAATCTTTATTTAAACACGGGAAATCATCAGTTAAGCTTAAGTTAAAAACTAAAACTAATTACAACTGCTTTACATGATTGCAGTGTGGGAATCCGATATATCAGCTACCTTCTTGATATTTCGCTTAAAATGCTCAACGGATGCAGCATTTTTTAAGTTTTTGGGCAAGTTATTCCATAACATAGCCCCGCTGTAAGAGAAGCTTCGTTTCAAATAATTCGTGCTTGGTTTGGACAGGTTCAGCCTTCCCTCAGAGTTTCTTAAGTTGTAAGCAGAGTGACACTGAAAGAAAAGACTTTGTAGATATTCCGGTGTAAGGTCATTCATGGTTTTATACATCATTAAGGCTTTTTGTTTCTTTTGTCGAAGAGACAGCCTCTCCCAGCTGAGGGTGGAGAGAAGGTGGTTTGAGCCCGTAAACGGCTTTTTGGCAAGTTTTAGGTCTTTATAGTCAGAGCGTAACCAGAAACGGGCTCAACTAGCTTCAAAGCGCGATTTTCTGCTAAATTCCCAGAGCAAATGGGTTAAGAGTTACGTATTTTCCTTTAAATAGGAATGTCAATGATTATTGTAATCAGTTAAAAATAAACCTGGGATCAGTTTGGTTTAGCTTTTTATATCTATTATTTCCGTTATTTCTTGCCAAAAAAGGGTAATTACTTTGAGGTCGATACTTTCAGGGGGTCGTTACTTTCGGGGGATTGTTACTTTCGGGATTTGCTATCACTTGTGAAATTTTATCGCTACTTTCAGAGGGTCGCTACTTTCGAAACTTTATTAACTACTCTAGTTGTATTAGATCAATTATGGACTATGCAGTACCGGGCTTTCACTTCCGTTTGCCTGAATATTTAATGCAAGCATAGGCGTACGGGCCGGGGGGGCGAGGGGGGCTGCAGCCCCCCCAAAGTTTGGGCAACTCAGATTTTTTGGGCAGCAAGAGAAAATTTGGGCAAAGCCAGTTTTTAAACACGTTTCCATGTTTTTTATTTTTATTATTATTTTGAAGAGATAAATATTTCCTATTTTAACCAGAAGTCGGAGTAATAATTCAGTTACGTTCACACGAGACAGTGGTTGCCTAGCACGTGATGAGTTTCTGGTTATAAGGGAAGGGTATCATATGCGGATTTTTTTTTATTGTTGGGCACTGTACTTCACTGCACGAGCTAGAATAGGCTATTTCCAGTCGTGAATTGATTAGAATAAACTTCCGCATAACTTTCTGGAATCACCTCCGCTCCTAGAACAGTTTGTGGCAGAACACGCATCAGCAATGGGTCTGAAAGTGAAGAAGTGGCTGACTAATTCTCAGTTTGAATTACGAGAAGAATCATAATTTTTTTGAAAAAATCTATCGAGCGGTTTAAAAATTATTCATTAATTTGTTTAAGTAGACCGAAATGTTTACAAAACCCCTAACAAGATCGAGCGCTTATCAAATCCTTCTTTGTAGCAATTGGCAGGAGCTATCTCCATGATCTTTCACACACGTTTTTAATGAGGTGAAAATGCATGTTAAAAGCGTTTCGTTTTCTTCAGATTGCGACTAAACATCAAGATTTTCCTTTTTTACCTTATTTCTAACAATAAAAACTTCATCCCAAAATATCTCGATAACGCTCTTACAGTTCCGTTTTAACTTCACGAACATCGAGGCGACTATTGGAGGAAAGAGCTCCCCTGAACGATTTTGTAAGAACATTTACCAGTGAGAAATATTGCTGCAAGTAGAATAAGGTAATGGCGTCATTTCATTGCTATGACAGCTCCGATGTCATTGCAACCCTGATCATGACAAATTTCCCTCTTTATCTAATACAACTGTGGTGTCAATTTTTTCCAAATGCTTGTTTATGGCGACGAAGTTTATGCTCAAACTTGGCAGGTATTGACTCTGAAAAACTGTATCGAGCCACTTTCATATGCCAGTACGGCCTATTTTGTTGCATGGCCCTAGTTTCCTTTCGACTGTTTTGTAAAAATTTGGGCAACTTGCAACAATTTTTTGGGCAAATGGATTACCGCCCCCCCTGGCAAAAAATTGCCCGTACGCCTATGAATGCAAGAGTTGGAAGGTGTACAGAAGAGAGCAATGTCCATTATCTGCCCTGGTGTTATAGTTATCATGAGGCTCTTGTTATTATGAACTTTAAGGAATTAGCAATCCAACATGACGAAATATGTGAGTCACTTGTTCACACAATTGTAAATGGCAACAATCACCGCCTTTATAAGTTATTTTCTTAAAGCAACTAACTCATAGGTTAGAGTTTTCGAATTTCGCAGCTTGTATTTCGATAACTTTTTTTAGCATCCCATGTCTTGTCAGCTTTTTATTCCTTTTAATTAAGATAAATTAGTCAATGTTTAGATCTATAATTTAATTTTTATAACGTAAATACGCAATTCAGTTTTCGAACTGCTATGTATTTATGAATTAATAAACTTCAAACTTTCAAACTTTCAAACTTCATACCCTGTCCAGCGCATATACTTGTATAGGTCATATAAGGAAGTTCCCAAGGGGGAATACGCTTATAGACTTCGCATTTACCTTTTAGTTTTCTTATGGTTTAAAGTTATTAAAAAGAAGCATTTTCACGATCTTGCTCATGCTCCAAACCCGCTCTAAATGAATTATATCCACCCTTACTTCCGTAGTAAACGAAAGTGGAATGCGACAAGTTTCAGTAGAGTCAGTTTCAGCATTGTTGTTATGAGGAAAACAACACTTTCACTACAGATGTGTGGGAATAAACTTAATTTTGATACCGCAGCGGTCATGAAGCTTAATATTATACTAAGTGTCGGTCCAAGTCCTGGGATAAATACGGTCATCTACTTAACAATGTAGAAAAGTATTGTTGCTGTTGCGAGTCTGTTGTCATGTAGAAAGAGGTATCTCCTCTAAGCGATAGAAAGCCTGGAAGAATAATTTGTTCTTGAATTTATGTGTAATGATTCTGGAGGAAAAAATACATTTGCAACTTACTCTCAGATTGTCTCTCCAAATTGCATAGCGCGCTTCCTCTTCGGTGTCTGTGCTGTATTTCTTGTCGTAAAAAGTTTTCCAAGCTTGCCACTGCTGCTTGTATTCACTATTGAGAATATGGCCATTTGCAAAAGCTAGGCACAGTGCAAAAGCGATAAAACCTTTCATTTGTGACGCCGTACAATGTTCGATCTTCTCATGAAGGTCGCGCAAGTCGATGACTGTCTCAAAAATGGGAACGATACTTTAGTAGCAGCGCAATATATTAACAATGAAGTCACGAGATGAGTGCGCGATTGGCACAGACCGTCAGGTTGAGTTTCGACAGGAACTCTTACTGCGAATATCCTTGGCACGCAACGCAGGTGTGGAATTAGAATCCCGGCCCCCGCCCCCGTCCCGGTAGGGGCGTAGCAGGGGATTTATTGTGACCCAGTGCCGGGATTGTAAAACTTATTGCAACACGGTTTCTGGTCTCGGAGCAGGGAATTTGACAAAGTGTATTCGATACGTACAGCGTAGCCGGGGAGCAATCTCTCTGGGACGCTCTGGCGGCGGGAAAAGGAAGGAAAGCTTGCAACTACGTCTCTGGAATGTGAATTCAACCCCCAATTCCCCTGTGGCTCCCCGCCGAATGACCTGTCAGATTTCCGCCAATCAGAGCGAAGCGGAAACGAGCGAAAAACACGCGCCAAGGGTAATGACGTCATTACTAACGTCATCTCGACCAATCAGCATTTCACAGAACGCCCCGGAGAGCTTGTTTGCAGGCTACGTACAGCGGGCCTTGAGTGGTGATTCAACAACAGCAAACGTTCGTCACCGGAAGTGAGAAAGGACTGAATCCGAGGCTGCTTCTTCAAGATGGCGTTTGCTACTTAAGTTAATAAGCAACTTCAAAGCCAGGCTTGAATTTCTTGATGCTCACCTTTGTTCAATTTTGAATGCACCTTATAACATGCTCATTATTAAAAGTTAAAGTATGCTGCCGAGTAATTCTTAAAAATTAATTTTTCAAATACAATAGCTGTCCAAGTTAGGCACCCTCACTGTTAAAGGCAATGAGACCCGTCAAGCTTTTCAAAACACTAACTGACCGGCAGTCTTGTCTTTTCTGTAAATTTAACAAATCGAAAAAACCAGCTAATCTAAACTACCATTATGTTGATTAAGAAAAGTCAAGCGATTCTGAAACGCTTTATAGATCTCAAGTTTAGCCTTTGGTTTACGCTGGGCTCAGAAAACGAAACCATGTTTTGTGACACTACCAACCTTTTTCAGGTCGACTGCCGGTCAAAATTTTCAAAACACTAAATGACCGGAAAGAGGAAAGAAGAAGCTGAAAAAAGTTCTAAGTGTCACAAAACATGGTTTCGTTTTCTGAGCCCAGCGTTAACCAAACGCTAAACTTGAGATCTATAAAGCGTTTCAGGATTGCTTGACTTTTCTTAATCAGAACATATGATAGTTTTGCTGGACGGCTGAGTTTTCTTGTCTCACGTAATATTTTTCCCATTAGTTGAATTTAACTTATTATTTATTTTTAGTTTGCTGATGGGAGCTCTTCAGTGAATTTGTCGTATTATCTTTTGCATGCACTTAATAGCATTTTGAGAGCAAAATCTAATGAATAATCCAGCCACTAGCAGTGCGCTTTTGAACTCATAGTGATTCAGCATTGGTTGAAATATGAAACTGAAATGTTTTGATTCCATTGATTTACACAAGTGAAATTATACCCACCAAACCCATTCCCAGGCTCCTCTCTCTTCCTCCCTAAGAGAGAGGACCCTAGGTCTGGGAACGACGTCGAATACACACACATGAAAGCTTAATTAAAGAAGCCAAGCAAAGCGGAAGTGTGAGTTTTGCATTCTGGGGCATTGGTTTTGCCCAAAGTTTCGGGCAAATAGTCTCTGTGCTGAGTAAAGACACTAAGCAATACAAAGGCCTCACTTCCGGTTGACACGCGTCGCCACGTACGATTGTCACCATAGCCTGCGGTCAGTGGCAGCCATGGACAGCTGTTTCGCCCTTATTGGAGCCGACGGCTGTGCCATGTTGATGAGCCCCAATAAGGGCGAAACAGCTGTCCATGGCTGTCACTGCCCAGGTGATATGGCTGTGCGCATGAGTAAGGTACTGACCAGGCCGTGGGTTGGTGTCCGTGTGCCCCTTGCTTTAAGTTTGTCTCACAACTTTGTGTTGCCTTGAAATTGCGCTGTAGCCATAGAAAGGTCAGTTTGCTCGTTATGCGTTGTTTTTTGAAACCTTTCTGTTTAAGCAACAAACTTGAAAGCTTTTCCTTTAACCACTGTAGTAGTTAAGTATATTGTTCTTGAGGAATCAGATTTTCACTGATTAGTAAAGACCAGACGCTAATTTTTGAGATTATCTTGGTAATCATTTGTAAAGGCCGAAGCCAATGGAGTAAGAAAATAAATGTAGTTTTACATTATCACGAGGAAAAAATTTAATGATGGTTGCCTTCAGTGCAGGATGTTAAAAGAATTATGCAGTGAATTATGTCAAAGAAAACTATCTTACAAAGCCTCTCTACTTTTCAATTTGCAACATTAAACAAGAGGATAGCTGGCTTCCGTGGCAATTCCACATTGATTATCCTTGTTCCTCGACATCATGATGTAGCCTTCCATTCCCCAGCTTGTTCCCCAGGAGTTCTTGACCAACCAGTAGTCCTGGCCATCATACGTACCGTACCCAACAACAAGAACACCATGGTCCAGTTGAGTGCTGCTACATGTTCTGCAAGTAAAAAGATAAAACAGATTCATCATTTTTCACATCACCCATAATACACCTTGTTAACCTCCTCCTAAGGGCATGATTGCAGGTTAACACACTCCCCCCAAACGATTGTGTATAGCTAGAAATTGTTTCCAATTTCTCTTGGCTATTACTAGCCTGTTCCAGTTGTTCAGGTAATGGAAAGTGACTAGGCTCGATTTCCGCCGTCTGCTGGGTCCGATCTTCGATCCTCACCGAAAAGAGAAATCGCAATAAGAGTGTTCAATAAATTTTCAGGCTGGCTTGTAGAAGACACTTACGGTTCGTCATAAACACCACTGTGGTAGAGCTGAAACGAGCCGTGGCTAGCATCAATTGCAACAGAGATTGGGCCTACTGTGGCACTAGCAGTCTGAAGAGCTTCTTCGCTTCCATGCGGGGTAATATCCACGTATCCTGTTAGAATACAGTAAGAAAACAGAACAAAAAATTCTCAATTTTTTGGCGCACATCCTACGGTATTAGGTGCTGTCAAAGAAGTTTCACTGTCAATGATCAGATCTACCGATTGAATCCACTAAGTTATTTCCGTTTTACTCTGTGTAATCTTTTAGTGACAAATCG